TTCAATTCATTTGTACTATTGGGGCCCGAATATTTTTTCATTTGATAAATCCTAATGCAAGTTCTTGATTTAAATTTCTGAACAGGTTAACCTGGAAGTCCTTCGGAGGAAGAATGTCTTGTTGCTCATTTCAGGCCCAAACATCTCCCCAGATGAGCTTTCAATTCTCGAAAACATTTACACTGAATCAAGGCAACACCTAATCAGGCCTGACAGGGATGGCCTTTACGAAATTGTGTGGATCCCAATTGTGGATCCCACGGTTGAGTGGTCTGAGGGACAGCCATTGCTAAAGAGCTTTGAGGCTCTTCAACGAACAATGCCATGGTACTCGGTTTACCACCCGAAGCTGATCCAAAAGCCAGTCATTGACTTCATCAAGGAGGAATGGCACTTCAGGAACAAGCTCATCCTTGTTGTCCTTGACCCTCAAGGAAGAGTACTCAGCCCCAACGCCATCCACATGATGTGGATTTGGGGAAGTGCTGCCTTCCCCTTCACCAGCTTGAAAGAGGAATCTCTATGGAGGGCAGAAACCTTCAAGCTTGATCTGCTTGTTGATGGCATCGATCCAGTGATCCTCAACTGGGTAATCAAAACCCATTACTCTAAATTCATTAAGAAAAAAAAAAACCCATGTCCCTGAAACCTTTAAATTTGTTTGAATCAATTGTTGATCACTTTGCTGTCTTCTTATCAGATTTCGGAAGGTAGATACATATTTCTGTATGGAGGAGATGACATTGAATGGATAAGAAAGTTCACCAGCGCAGCTCGGTTCGTGGCCAAAGACTCAAACATTCCTGTAGAGATGGTATATGTGGGGAAGAGCAGCCACAAAGAACAAGTAAGGAAAGTAACAGCCACGATCACGGTAGAAAAGATCAGCCATTGCTGGCAAGACCCTGCCATGGTTTGGTTCTTCTGGACCAGGCTGCACAGCATGCTGTTCTCCAAGATCCAGCTCAACAAAGTCGATGATCACGATGATGTGATGCAGGGGATCAAGAAGCTTCTCAGCTATGACAAAGCAGGCGGATGGGCAGTGCTAGCCAAAGGGTCTGAACTGGTGATACTCGGCCATGGAAGCACAACTCTGCCTACTTTGCTAGACTATGAGAACACATGGAAGAAAGAAGTAGTCATTAAGGGTTTTGACAGGTCCATTAAAGATTACCATAGCATGCTCCATAACATTGCTAACCCCTGCAGCCGCTTCGATTTCCCGGTGACTGCTGGAACTGGGAGGATTCCTCAGAGCATGAAGTGTGCTGAGTGTGATCGGATGATGGTGAAGCACACAACTTTCACTTGCTGCCATGATCATGAAGACGTTCCGGAGACAAATATTAACTATTAGATCATG